ACTTAAGTATAATAAAAAATAACAGAATAAATTTAAATGTTTAGACATTAATTTTTTTTTTTTTTATCTCTTTAAATATATTTCATATATTTTACTCTATATTTGTGGCTGATTTTTATTTTTTTTATTTTATTATTGAAAATAATATTCTACATAATCATATGAAAAACAAAAAAAAACTTTATTTTAAAACAGTGATCATTTTGCACATTAATATGCCCATTTTAATACTTTTATAAGGTTTACTATTTTTTTTATAGTATTGTTATTCCTTTATTAATATATTTATTATTCTTTTTTTTTTTATAAATCAATATATTTATTCATGTATTAATAATATTATAATTTGATAATTTTTGAGAATTAAATTTTTGTTTTCTATATTTATAAACAAATTCATTTCCTAAATAATTTTTTTTTTTTTTTTTTTTTTGTTTTTTTAATGTTTCCAAATTGTTTGTTTGTATAATAATTTTAATTTAATTTTTTTAGAATATAAAATTTCTTTTAATATGATTTTTAGTATTTATTATTTGTTAGAATTAGAAAATGCTGTTGAAAAAAAAATTTGTGAAATTGAAAATGAAATGCAAAATATTTTTTCCTTTCTAAATTATAATAATAAATTAAATAATTCCCTTTTACTATGTAAGAAAAATTCTTTAATAAAAAAATCGACATTACACTTGAATAAATGTAGAAAGGACAGAAAGAGAAATAATCAAAGACAAAAAAATTTAATAATACATAGTTTTCTCATTAAGAAAAAAACTCAATTAAAAAAAGAATATTCAAATAGAAAAAAACTAATAAAAGAAGAAAAAAATATAAATAAAAACTTCACCATTATTCAGAATAGAAGTAATTAAATTAACACATATTTTAAATAAATAAATATATATATATATATATGCTTCTCTATATTATATATAAAAATATATTTATTAAAGAATTATAAAATTTTCTTATATTTAATAATATATATTTTCGTTTATTAAAATCATAAGACATATATATATTTATATATATATATATATATTTTTTTTTTTTTTTTAAAGTATCAAATTGTATATATAATACATATGATGAAAAAGATATAAAAGTGAAATGTAAAAAGAAAGAAAGTAATCATTCTGTTAAATTAATAAGAGAAATAAATTTAAAAAAAAATAATTGTGTATTATCATTGGCACAAAGTAAGGATATGAATTATTTATTGGCAGGGTTAGATAATGGTGTTTTATATATTTATGATTTCTCTAAAGAAAATATAAATAATAGTTATAATAAAAACTTGATGACATATAATAATCACATTAATAATTATAATGAGAGCTTTTTACTTATACATGGTGGTGCAATAATAAATATTCAATTTTCTAATACAAATGAAAAGATTTTTTTTACAATTGGTATAGATAAAAAAATTAAAGTATGGAAGATGAATAGGAATATATGTTTTAGAGACAATGAAGAAGTGAGTAAAATAAATTTGAAATTCGTTTGCGAAATGAAATTTAATTATCATATTACAAATTGTATTTTTCATTCAAATATAAAGGATACCTTAATAATAGGTTTTATTAACGGTGTTATAAAAATAGTAAAGTTAAAAAAAAATTATGAGGATAACCTTGCTTTAAATAATGAAGAAATTGAAAAAAAAGGAAATGTAATTTTTGAAAATATCATGAAAAATTCAATCGTTAAATATGATAAAAGTCTTTTTAATTATTCCACTGAAAATTCATTTAATAATTCTCATAATAACAATTTTTTTAATAATTCAAATAATATTTGTTGCAATGATAAAAAAAATGTTTTTAAAAATTCATATATTAAAAACTTTTTTGAAACAAATTTTTTAGAAAATATGAACAATTTAAAAAAAAAAAAAAAAAAAAATTGTGAATTATATGTAACAAAGCAAATAAAAACGAAATTTTCTATATGTGCATTGGCTATGTCGATATATAAAAATTTATTATTTGTTGGTATGTGTAATGGGATAGTTAATATTTATACAAATAATTATGAATTTAAAAAAGAACTTATATGTAGAAGTAAAAGAGGAATATATTCAAAAGGAAAACAAGTTAGTAGCATCAAGTTTAATGAAAATTTAAATTTAATTATTGTTACAACTCTTGATAACAGAATTAGAATTTTTGATAAAAAATTATTTTTAATTTATAAACTAAAAGGGAATAAAAATTGTTCTTTATCCTTTGAATCAAAAATTTTTGTAAGTATAAATAATTTAAGAAAAAATCATGATAAAAATTCTGATATACATGAAAAAATATATAATCAAGATTATTGGAATTTTGAACAAATATATAATAAAGCGAATTCTTCTTTTATTACTTATAATAATATTAATACAAATAAAAATATAAGAGATAATCATTTAATATATTACAGAAAATCAAACAACTTTAAAAAAGTTTTTAAAATAACATCACCAAGTGAAGATGGTAAAGTATATATATGGAATTTTTCTTTATCTTCTTTAGAAGATGATAATAAAATTTCTAAAACAAAATCACAATGCACATATTCAAAGAGTTTCATGAAGTATATTTGTCAAAACTTAATAAAAAGAAAAAATAAGAGAGAACAATATATTATGAAGGATAAAGAAATCAGTGTAAAAACAAATTATTTTAAGGAAAAACTTGATAATATTATTCAAATAAAAAGTAATGATCAACAAGATTATATTTATGACAATGTTATTAGTGATGTTTACTTCAATAACAAAGAAACAGTATTAAAAAAAAAAAAAAAAAGTATAAACAGGGATGATTTTTTTCAAAAAATACAAAAAAAATTTTTTAAAAAATCCTCTTCGTTTCATTCAAAGAAAAAAGATGAACAAACCTATTTTAATAATATCTTAAAATGTCATAAATATGGAAACGGAGAAATTCAACATTCGTCAATGAGTAAATTAATCAATAAACATAAAAAGAAAAAAAAAAAAAAAATTATTAAATCATTAGATAATTTAGATTATTTTATATCTCATGATTGTAAAAAAATATCAGCAACATATATTTCTAACGAATTTTTTTATATTGATAATAATACTAATGAAAAAAAAAGTCTATATGAAAAAAGAGGAAATAATTCAAAAATGAATTTCCTACAAAGAATTAAAAACACATTTGAAAATAAAAAAAAAAATAACACTAATAAATATTCAATATTTAAAAAATCTGAACATAGTTTTCATGATAGTATTTCTTTTTGTGAAACAGCCTGTCCAAAAAATATGTCTTTTCAAAGTAATAAAATAAAAGTAGTTACATTTTTTTTTTTTTTTTTCTTTTAATAAGTACATACTATATGAATTAAATACATTGCATTTTTTTAAATGTTTTAATAATATAAAAAGTAAAATTTTAATAAAATTATTTTAAGTAATTTATTTTATCTATATTTTTTTTTTTTTTTATAGAAATTAATGAAAATAAAATTCCAAAGGACATGTAAGCTTATTTGTATATATATTTATATATATTTTTACATATATATATAAATGTTTTAAAATTTTTTTTTTATTTTTTAGGAATTTACAAAAACATTTCTTAGTTATTACAGCAAATAACAAATGCATTAAAATTTTTTTGTGTTGTGAAAAAAATTAATTTATTTTTTCATTTCTATTTATATTGATTTTTTAATTTATTTTTTAGTATATTCATTTTAATTGATATCTTTTTTTGATACCTTTTATTTAATGAAAAAAAATATATAACACATTTTATTTTTTTGTCAATGTAATTAATTTTGAATTTGTTATTTTGTTTTTTTTGTTGTATCATTTTTTTTTTTTTTTTTTTTTTTTGTAAATATTTATAATAATTTATATTACGTTTTA